GACCTGAGTTCTTCGAATCGTGAGAGTCCCAGGTCAATCAGAGGTATTTTACTCATCTGATTCCCCCGGGATTCAAACTCTGGTGTGCTAATCCAACAATGATGCTCGTATCATGTAGCCACATGGCCTGGGTGTGACTCATATTTGAAGAGCTGTTCTGCCTCTACTTGAGAACAGCTCGGGCTGCCCTAGATATGTAGTCCAAAAACGGTGAAACCAAAACAGAATTGACTAGGTCCATGAGCCCTGAATAACCCCACCCCCGCAAAAAAAAACACACACACACACCAAAAACGCAGTCCCAATACGACAAAAATACGAGGGATCTACATAGCAGAAACAGCAAAAAACGAACAAGAAAACAAAAACAAAAACAAAAGCAGAACATTGAGAAAAAAAGACCCCTACCCACTGAATCAGCACAGCCCTGGGCCCCACACCGAATCCTGGTCCCAAGTGTTCTTGTGAGTCTCACAGGAGCATAATGCGAGACTTGCTCAATCGATAATGTCAGTAAGTTATAGAAGAGAAAAGGAAAAGAGGATTCAATGTATCACACACATTCGTAGGTTGTAGGGGAATTAGTCTATGGGGTTATGGGATAATATAATTAGTCTAAGGAGTCTAAAGCTGTACTCACTCACTATCCCCAGAGTCTAGGTAACTCTAACCCTGAGACTAATATAAGCGCTGTCAACCCTAACCTGGATTTAACCCTGAGTCTAATCTAAGCGCTGTCAAACCTAACCTGGATTTACAGTACCCCAAGAGGGGAACTGTAGTTAATGCCCGAACTCCACTTTTGTGGATGGTTGAAGATGAACGCAGTCGCCATTCGCTCGATAGCATTTGGAAGATCCACTATTCACCTGGTGTCTTACCAACATTGATACTTGACGATCACCTTAAGTTTTCATCGCTGCGTCATCTGTCACACTTTCATCACCTTTCGTATGGTCGCCTACCTTCTTCCCCGGAATACAACCTACGGTCATTATAGCTGTATTTAAACTGAAAGATACCCCAAATACAGATATAATGACCGTACGTTGTATTCGGGGGAAGAACGTAGTCACACTCTCCCAATCTCCTATTACGAAACCGGATGATGACCAGCGTAGTAGGAGCAGATGGTCGTCGTACACCTACTAATGACAGAGGTCAGAGTACCGCTCGGCCATATTAACATGAGCATAACAACCAAGAACAACCAAGCGCTAGGTGGGTATAGCCAAGTTGCTCAGGGGTGTCATAGGTTAGAGCTCGGTCAGGTGGGGGCTAATAGACACTGCCTGTGATATCTGGGGTGTGCATGATTACATCCATACACTAGAGAGCCTGAGAGGCCTTGAGTAAGTTTGGGGGGCATTGAACCGCCACTACATAGCCCCAGTCTTGCAGAAAAACGTTCATCGCGTACTCCAAAAATTTTGCGACTCGGGCCTACTGGACCACAATGGCTGGCGACGCCAGCCAAAAAACAAAAAAAGTGCCCCATTGGCGGTTTGGAAAAGCTTGGCGTGGAGTGCAGCGCCTCCTGGCGATGGGGCCTGTGGAGAGAATGCTTACGCTTAGAGCCTGAAGTACCCGTACAACAGGACTTGTTCGAGCATACTTAAAACAGGGCTGACCGGGGTTCCTTCTCAGCCCTGGAGCCTACGACCACTGTCTTGTCCGCCATGCCACCAAGATGGTAGAAGGGTGATGATCCGGAGTGGTAGACACTAAGGTAGGACTGGGGGAGTGGGGCTGCCCCAGGGAGAATTGATGGGAGGAGGGTGGATGTGGCAGTCGCCATCCCCTCGATAGCATTTAGAAGATCCGCTATTCACCTGGTGTCTTACCAACACCGATACTTGACGATTACCTTAAGTTTTCATCGATGTGTCATCTGTCACACTTTCATCACCTTTCTTATGGTCGCCTACCTTCTTCTCCGGAATACAACGTACGGTCATTATAGCTGTATTTCAACTGAAAGATACCCCAAATACAGATATAATGACCGTACGTTGTATTCGGGGGAAGAACGTAGTCACACTCTCTCAATCTCCTATTACGGAACCGAATGATGACCAGCGTTGTAGGGGCAGATGGTCGTCGTACGCCTACTAATGACAGAGGTCATGGCCATATTAACAACATGAGCATAACAACCAAGAACAACCAAGCACTAGGTGGGTATAGCCGGGTTGCTCAGGGGTGTCATAGGTTAGACCTCGGTCAGGTCGGGGCTATTAGACACTGCCTGTGATATCTGGGGTGTGCATGATTGCATCCATACACTAGTGAGCCTGAGAGGCCCTGAGTAAGTTTGGGGGGCATTGAACCACCACTACATAGCCCCAGTCTTGCATAAAAACGTTCATCGCGTACTCCAAAAATTTTGCGACTCGGGCCTACTGGACCACAGTGGCTGGCGACGCCAGCCAAAAAACAAAAAAAGTGCCCCACTGGCGGTTTGGAAAAGCTTGGTGCGCAGTGCAGCGCCTCCTGGCCATGGGGCCTGTGGAGAGAATGCTTACGCTTAGAGCCTGAAGTACCCTTACAACAGGACTTGTTCGAGCATACTCCAAACAGGGCTGACTGGGGTTCCTCCTCAGCCCTGGAGCCTGCAACCACTGTCTTGTCCGCTCACACCACCAAGATGGTAGAAGGGTGATGGTCCGGAGTGGTAGACACTAAGGTAGGACTGGGGGAGTGGGGCTGCACCAGGGAGAATTGACGGGAGGAGGGTGGGTGGGGGTTCATAACGGGTAAGAGCCCCCCCCCAAAAAAAAACGAAAAAACAAAAAGCAAAAACATTGAGATGATATCCACCAAACGTTTTTGTTAGGTAGGCCCAACCTTGAATACCAAATTGTAATGATCCTCGAGTTTCCTCGTTAAAACGCACCCTTCCTTCCCATACATGAATCACCACTCGAGGTAGGTTCGCAAGATAACGTTGGCTTGTAAGATAGAGAATAAGAGAAGAGAAAATAGCCCAGTTGAAGAGGCTGACTCCCTCCAAATGATCTTGCTGACAGATCAACTCTGAAGTAGACTCTGGCCTATCCATCACCTGTCTGGTACTGCTACTACACAGTAGGGACGAGGGACCAGATCGTGGTTTTCTCACCACCCCTCAGATTGAAACACTGTTAGGAATATCTCTTTTTCTTTTCTTTTTATCTCCTCCCGGAACCCGTAAACTTTGATTTCTAACAAGGTGCTGGCAGAGTCATCCGATAGACATCCGCCAAAACTCGGTGCGCAGAGAAACTCAGGGGTGGCAAAAACAGGCTCGGAGGTACCAGTCGTTTAAGTGCAGGTTGTTGTAGAGGCTAGCCACCAGGCATATGACAGTCCCTTCAGCAGTTGGCCATTTGATAATCAGTAAAAGTATAAGACCTCCTAGATATCTGCTGACCCGTTCACTGACGTGACAGCATGACGAAGGCTGACAGAGGGTCCAGACATGATTTACTGGCACTGCCAGCTGAAGCCATAGAACTTCCTCTAGTAGGGACAGAGATCTTTGGTGATCGACGGAGGAGGGACAGAAAAGTAGGGAGAATCAGATAACAAAAGGCGTGTAAAAGAAGTCCTTTGGGACATCTGTTAAAATTGGAACGGTTCAGATAAGACTAGCATGGCCGCCCCTGCGCGAGGATGACACACATTAAATTTTACTCATAAATCGAGAAATGGTCCAAATTAAAAAAAAAAGAAGAAAAAGAAAAGGAGGCGGACAAAAGGAAGGATAGGGAGCAAGGGACACAGAAGGATAGACTGAGAAGAGGGAACACAGACGAGGCAGTGAAAAACAGGAACAGACAGGTAGATGAAAGTAGACCAAGGGTCTCGCTCCACTACTCTCCGCATGCACAAAAGACAAAAAAATATGGTGGTGTATCTTTCCATGTTCTTTTTTTTCTTTTTTCTTTTTCTTGTTCTTTTTCTTTTTTTAAACAAAAGCCCTTTAGCAAGGCCACTATCCCGGCAGTGGTAAGAGAACCACCAGAATTGAGGCTTTGGCTGTCGGGCTGCTCCGTCTATTGGTGGGGAGTGACACCTGCTGGAAACCGGGTCCAGTGTCCCTTTAATTCAACAATGCAGGTCAATGTTGAGGCTATAGTCGTTGTTCCATTCTACTCTGGAGCACCCAGTATCCCTTGGAGCTGCATATAGTATTATAGTCCCATTCCCATTGCGGGGCTTCTACATAACATCTGACCCAGCCCCCGCCTAGAAGTTGTCTGCTGATCTTCCCGAGACTACTCCCAGCTGTCCGCAGCCCCCCTTGTGTTTCTGGGAGTATTTTCGCAACGGGAGTTGACTGCATGTGATCATCTTGAGCTGTTCTTCAGCCCCTGAAACAGCTTGAGGTAGTGGTAGGAACAGACACGACAAGCTGACTGGGCGGCTTTATATGTAATCGTGAGGAGCAGAACCTGCTGGGAAACAGGCCCAGCGTCCTGTTTTAGTCTACGCAGAATCTGTGAACTGAGTCCGATCCAGGCGATGCAGGCCCGTGCCTTGGCAGCCTGAGGACAGGCCGCCCGTGTTATGCATGACTAGATTGGCCATTTCCCTACGTTGTGAACAATGGGCCGAGCGGTGGTGGGGTCAGGCGCATCCATGCCCCTGACTTTATGTCCCTTGACTCCAGAATTCTTAGCAGCTAACATTTACCGCAGCACCTCAGCCAGAATGGCCAGTGTGTGTCCTTCGGGACATCCGTTAAAATTGGAACGATACAGAGAAGATTAGCATGGCCCCTGTGCAAGGATGACACACATAAATCGAGAAATGGTCCAAATTAAAAAAAAAAAGAAAAAAAAAAAAGAAAAGAAAAGAATGGCCAGTGTGCACTTGCTGTGGGGCTGTTCCTGTATGTAGCCCCTAGTCCTCTTTTGTACATAGCCGCCGAAAGGATCCGAGGGGCACTCCATCTCGTTGGTCCTCCAATTGGTGCTCCCTTTCTGTAGGACTTGTGGTTGAGTGCTGGCCGGCAGTGGACCAGTTCCCATACCTCTGCTTCTGCCGTTCATGTCGGACGGCTGCGATCAGGTGCATGTCAATTGTGGTGCCTTCAGACCAAGGGGCTGTGGGGGTCAGGGAGAGTGGGGGGACTCAGTGCAGACGGGGAAGGCGGGGGGGGGGGGGGGGGGGGGGGGGGNGGGGGGGGGGGGGGGGGGGGGGGGGGGGGGGGGGGGGGGGGGGGGGGTAGTCCGAGGTGCATGGAGGCATGAGCAGGGGAGGTAGCATGTGGGCGCATGAGATCGCCTGAGGGGCGAGAGGAGGGGAGGGCTGTGTTGAGACTGGTTGACGAGGACGAAGTTAGTCTTAAGGTATGGGACATGGAAATCCTCTCTCGGTCTCGTTTGCCAGGTGAGTTCCGTGTTCCTCCAAGGTTTCCGCTGGATGTCCAGACCCACGTCAAGGTCACTGGATACAGCCTGGGGATCCTGCCATAGCTGCCTGAAGGAATGTAGTATGGCTGCTTTGGCTTGAGGTTCTTTCTCCTCCCATGGACTTCCATGCGTCTTGGGTGTGGGACCTGATCGCCTCCTCCATCGCCTGCTGCCAAATTGATGGTCTCTCCTCTTAAAGGAGCATCTTGCCCGCCAGGCCAGCATGAGGATGTGCAACCTGGTGTGTGTAACGAGTTCAGTGCGAACGGGGACCACTAGGTCAGCAAGTGCTGGTTCTTGCCCAGCAGGAGGAGGCCCAGGTCCCATTGGATGTGGACCGAGGCTAGGGAGTGGAAGGCTGCGTCCCGCCACTGCCAGAGTTGGGCGACCATCAGGCGTGCCAAAAGGCAATGTTCCAGCGTCGCTCGGGCAGGGGGAGTAGACCTTCCACAGTAGGAGAATATTTCAAAGGAAACAACTGCTGGATGGTTCGATTAGTCTTTCCCCCCTATACTCGAGATCGACGAACGCTGAGTGAGCCGGATACTAGACAGTTTGACGAGTCTTTCGCCCTTTTACTCAAGTCAGACGAATGCTCTGCATGCTCGCACCACTGTGGGCCTCACTGGAGTCCCGCCGGCTACGCCTTGCTCAGGTATAGTTTCACGATTTTTTGAGTCCCAACGGCCATGCTCACGCTCAAACCTCTCACAACAGAGAAGGGTTGGCAGATGGTGCACTCGGAGAAGGCTCTGCCACCCCATTCTTCCGCCTCTGGGCCAAGCACCCACTGGCTCACACACGTTGACCCTTGGTCCGTGATTTATAACGGATAGGATAGAGGAAAATTCGCCAGCAACCCAAATACGCAGAGGCCATGCTAATCGTTTCCAATTTTAACGGATGTCCCGAAGGACCACAACAGGGCCGCAACGTCGAGATATTGCTTTCAGCGCACGGTTGATTTTGCTTTCGGCGCACGGTACAAATCCACCTCGACAAAGAAAGGCCCGCAGGTACTGGTGGTTTACACCACCAGTACCTTTCCCATACATTGCCCGCAGGCCCCTCACTCCAACTTTCAGAGGCCCGAAATGCAGCACGGGCCGCTGATGAAATTTATCGATGGCGGCGCGGCCCCGAAAGTTGCCTGTTTGAATCGCCGCGTATTTGTTTTTCAAGCGGGGAAAGGTACTGGTGGGTTAAAACAACAGTTCACATGAGCCTAGCCTCCAGCTTGGACTTAAGTTGGTGGCCTTCAGCGTTCACTACCGGCCCATGCCTGAATCGAAAAGCTCTTAACGTGTATACTGGTAAGAGCTCATCTCAGGCTCGGGTGAATGGGTGGTTTAAACCACTAGTACACAGCCCCAGCCTTGCAGTCCAAAACTTGTCGCCGCAAGAAAACGAGGTGCCCATGTACTGGTGCTTTAAGGCAAAAGCAATAGCTGCAGTTAATGCAAAACCTAAAATGGGTTGGGATCAGAGGTGAGTTAGGCATGTACCCCAGTCATGTCTGCACGCTTTCGATCTCAGTTTCAGAGATGATAGCAGGCGTGCAGAGATGTGCCTGCCAAACACGCTCACATGCGTCCACAAATCCGACGTTTTGTTCATAGGACATGCCCTATGGTAACTATGGTGTAAAGTGGAAAATTCCAGCACAGTGGAATTCACACAGTGCGAAATGAGAAGGGGAATTAGAAGGAAGGAGGGGAGTAGTGAAGGAAATGGATAACAGCGGGGAAAGACCAAAGAAAAGCATGAGGATTGAAGGATCGGGGGTGGGTATAAGGGGGGTAGGGAAGAGAGAAGGGGGGGTGAGAAAACTGCGTTGGGTACTACTAGAAAAATAGTGGAAGTGGGGGAGTGGAGGGGCAAGGGGGACCAAAGAAGGGGGATGTGTGTTAGCAGTGACTGCGTACCACTGAGAGTCTCCCGGCTGTTAATCGCCGTTCTCCTTACTGACCCTGTTTGGGGGGAGTGTGGGTAGATAAAGAATAGGGGTGTTGCACATCTTAATCTTGCCGGTGGTGAGCAATCAGACTACCAACCCCCAGAAAAGAAGGGGTGCGTGTGTGTGTTTAAATTTTCGTCTCACTCCACCTCTCACCAACGACCCCCTTGGTCTCTTTTGGGTATGCACTTTTTGAAAATACCGTAGTGGGATGAAGCTCACGCACAAACAAAGGGTCTCACTCCACCTCTCACCAAATTTGCAAAATGAGAATGAATCTTCCTCTAGAACATGGGAAGATGCACCGCCATATTTTTTGTCTTTTGTGCATGTGGCGAGTAGTGCCGTGAGGCCCGAAGTATATCTCTACTTGTCCCTCTCTGCCGCCACCTCACCCCCCCAACCCAAGCCATTTGTGCCGCAGTCGTCTTCTTGGCAGACTGGCTCTTCTTGAGAAGCAGTACTTCCTCGCTTCCACCTCTTTGGCAGTCGCCTTTGTCTTTTTACTGTCTGTGACCTCTTCGCGGAATCATTGAAATTTCAAAAAGGAAAAAAGTTCAAAAACGAAGTCGTTGATTTTTCCGTTTTCTTGTTGTTTTACTAGTGAGCCCCAATGTGGAATTCGGCGCACTTAAATTTAGTGAACTTTCTGTTAGTTTTGAATTTCATTTCATTAAATTTATTTCCAGCTTTGTTCTTGAAAACTTCGATGATTTCTCACATTCTGTCTGGGGTCCTTGCCCCTAGAGCCATCCACTAGAGCCATCCATTGTGATCGGTCTTGTTGTCACATTGTTTTTTTTCACTTTCTAAGTTTTAACAGGTTTTAGCTTTTAAGTTTTAACCTAGGCTACCAGAGTGGCCCGGGACCACTTGCCCAGCAGGGCCCAAAAAAAGTAAAAATAAAATTGTAAAAATATATATTTTTAACTTTATTTTTTATTTTTTATTTGGTAAAGAATTTCGATGTGACCGTTAGTTTTTTGCAAAACATAGTTTTTAAAACTTTTTTTCCAGATTTTTTTGAGTTTTTTTTTTTTTTTCTGGGACCTACGTTGACCCTTGCACGGCCGGACCGCCCGGGCAAATAAGGTTACCCGGGGGCCTGGCTGGTAGCCTAGCTTGTAAACCACCAGTACTTGTCCCAGCTATCGGCCGCAGAAAAAAATAGAGTAGAAATGAGTTTAGTCGGATGAATTTGGGCGCTCCTGTAGTAGCCCGTACGTTTCCTAAAATCGTGGCGTGTTAATGGGCACGACTCTAGGAAGTACTGCAGTCAGTGGTTTAACAGCTTTAAACACGTGTTCCACAATACAACCTTGTACTCCATATATTAAGAAGTGGAAGTAAAATTCTAATAATAACTTCCGATAAGTAAGAGTACGTCAGTAACCATAAACGCAGGGCAGCAATAGCCTTGGGCACTGGGCCGTGTCAAATTCATTTTTGTAAAAAAAAAAAAAAAAAAAGTGGGCCTCGCTCAACTACCAACCAAATGTGCAAAATGAGAACGAATCTTCCGCTAGAACATGGAAAGATACGTCGCCATATTTTGTCTTTTGTGCATGTGGTGAGTAGTGGAGCGGGGCCCAGTCTCCCTCTACTTTGGTTGGATGGATGTGTTGTTCATGTCCTGTTCCGGCACGTCGGTGATAAGCCATGTGACTATGGGCCTCGCTCCACTACTCACCACATGCACAAAAGACAAAAACATGTGGCGGTGTATCTTCCCATGTTCTAGCGGAAGATTCATTCTCATTTTGCACATTTGCTGAGTAGTGGAGCGAGGCCCTATCCATACCGGTAGTGAGAGCATCATCACGGCCGGTAATGTCATTATTATGTTTTTAAAACTTTTTCCTAATTTTCTGTTAGGGCATCGGCACACTACTCCCGAATGGTGCAAAATGAGAATGAACTTCCTGCTAGAACATGGCCAGATGCACCTGCCACATTTTAGTCTTTTTCACATTTCGAGAGTGGTGTGGCAAGGCCCTTAGTCTCATGTGTTTTCTTTCTTCTCCTTTCTGTCGTTCTGGCGTGTTTCTTTTTTCTTGTTTTTTTTAACTTTTTTCTCTGTCTTTCCCCTGCCGTGTTTCCGCCGTCTGGCACCTTTCTTTGTTTGTTGCGTGGACTGCGTCTCGTGTTTTTTTTTAAATATTATAATTATAATAATTATTATTATTATCATTGTCCTTCTGTTCTTTTCCTGACCTCTCTTTTAGCCTCCTCTCCCCCTCCCCCCAACCCCGCACCCCCCTCTGCCCCCCTTACCCCCTTCTCCCCCTTCCCCCCCGTTTCCCCCCCTTTCTGCCCCACGCCGGGTCCACCTGGACGCTAAATTGTCTCACTTCACGAGAGGACAGGATCTGTGGACAAGCTGTCTTCGAGTGTATTCACACAAATTTCTTTATGGAACTTGGCCGTATATGTGATCAGATGCATCCAGGAAATTCCTCATAAGTTCGGAAAACGCGTATGCATATCGTTTGAGGTGGTATGCATATCGGTTTTCCTCTTTTCTTTTTGTTTTGCTGCACATGGTTTGATGTGGTGAGGTTCAAGTTGTTCTGATGGGAAACACTTGTAACTCTTGATGAAGAGGTCACGAGCTCGAATCGTGATGGAATCAGATGGATAAAAAGAACGTTTAGGGCTACAAAGTTATAGAGTACATAAGTAGGGCATCGCACAGTCAC